TTGGGTCCAGTTGTGGGGCCTGAACTCTGGGCCTGGGCGCTGTCCCTCAGCTCTTCAGCTCAAGGCTAGCACTCTACCACTTGAGCCACAGCGCCACTTATGGCTTTTTTCTTTTTGCTTATTTGGTGCTGAGGAATCAAAACCAGGGGCTCATGCATGCAAGGCAAGCGTTCTACCACTGAGCCACCTTCCCAGCCCAAATTATGTAATTTTTATACTTACAAAAAGGTCATTAAGAGAGGGTTATCAGAGGCTAACTTCTATAATCCTAGCTACTAAAAAGGCTGAAACCTGGAAGATTGAGGTTCAAAGGTAGTCCAGGCAGAAAACTCTGTGAGACTCTATCTCCAATTAACCATCAAAATACTGAGATAGAGGTATGGCTCAAATGGTAGAACACTAATCCTAGAGCAAGAAATATAAATGAGAGTATGAGGCTCTGACTTTAAGCCCTAGTACTAGAAAAAAAAAGTAATTAATTAGGTACAGAAGTTATTTGGTGAACATACTAAAATATTAAGAGGTTATCTTGAAGTTGTCTGAAGATTGAGGAATTATATGATTTCTTCCTCCTAGTTCTATTTTTCTATTTTCCCCAAAAGAGCTTGTATTATTATAGTCTATGAAAAAGACCAAAAGAAAATAAGTGCATTCTTTGTGTTATCCATTCCAAAGATAGGGAAAATCACTGTAAAGGATACTCATTCACTGAAGGAAGTAAATATTGCTCATGTCATAGTTTGTTGATTTAGGTTGCTCTAGTTGAACACAGAGTTTCTAAACTTGTTTTTTTATAAACTGCTACATTACAATTACATTATTTTGGCCATGAATTCATACTTTGGGCATTCCATTACTAATAGGAAGTAGAATATCAAACAAAGGCTAATATAGCCTATATCAATACAGTCATCTCTTTACAATAGGGGGCAGAGTTAAGAGACTGAGAACTTGGGATCTAAAGACAGAAGACTGGCTGGAGTTCTAACTCTGCTTTTTATTAGACTGGGTAATCATACATGTTATTTACGTTCACTAAATTTTTTTCTTCATCTAAAAAATAAGTATAATAGTATACTTTATTCACAGAATTGCTATGATTAAATTTGGTAGTGTGTTTATAAAGCCTTTAGCCTAATATCTGACCTAGAATAAACAGCAGAAGTTGACAATAATAATAATTAATAAGTATAACAGTTATTAGCCTAAGTACTGTTAGAACTTAGAGAAATGTCTACTTTAGGTAGGAACAAAATTTTAAGGCTGCTCCAAATCTCTGAACTGAGAGGTTTTGAGGTGAATTGTGAGATCAAAATCACTGAAGTACCTTTTTCTGTGGAGGCTTCTTTGCATAGATTTGGAAGGTGAGTTTAGAATTCCACCAGTGCTCTATCATTGGGCCATTGAACTGCACTGGAAACACAAATCGCTGCTGGAATTTCACCACTGTAAAGAGAAGCAAGGCAAGCGTTCTACCACTGAGCCACCTTCCCAGCCCAAATTATGTAATTTTTATACTTACACAGGTTCATGTTACAGAATCCAGCAGAGCTGTCATTAATTCATGCCTTTACACTACTTCCTTTACAAATCTAAACTGTCTTTCAGGAATCTAGGTAATGAGATTTCACAGAAAGTATTAGGGTTGTAGTACTACAGGAGCAGAGACAAAGGAAAACCCAGGGTATAGTAGCAGACGAGAAGCAATACTATGCTGTCACGCTTGCTATGAGAAATACCTACCTTATGAGAAGGGGGTATGGAAGAAGATGTAACCAGATAGTGTACTACATTTAAGGTAGGACGACATGTGACAACAGAACTGATAAAAAATGAGTTTATTGCTGGACTCCAGTGGCTCACATCTATCATCCTAGCTATTCAGGAGGCTGGAGATGAAGATGAAGGTTCGAAGCCAGTCCAGGCAGGAAAGTCCCTGAAATTCTTTATCTCCAATTAAACCAGCAGAAAGCAGAAAATAGAGCTGTGACTCAAGTGGTAGAGCAGTAGCCTTGAGCAAAAAAGGTTAGTGACCCAGGCTCTGAATTCAAGCCCCAGGACTAACAAAAAAAAAAAAAAAAAACCCTTATGCTCAGTCAATACTAGGCATTGATGTTAGCAATGTTAGAGAATCTGTCTCTTTGATGGAAAGGAAAGCATTTCTGCTGAAATTCCAAGTATAAATGGACTGAAGTCATAGTGTTATCTGGGTTTGTTTTCAATGACAGAAGGCATTAATTAGGAAATAAAAGGAATTTGTGATTAAACTCAAAGACAAGTCAAGCTTCAGTTTTATTAGTTAAGGATGAAAATTTAAGCAATAACTTATTATCTACAAAATGATCTTCCTGTTCATTTACGTCTGAGGCCCTTAAAATGGATAGAAAGAAGTTTCAGATAGCCCAGTGACATCGAAAATCTGGTATCAATGGTGTTCATTTCAAATTGCTCATTTTGACCTATTGTTCTCTGTTCATTTCTGGCTATCTTAAATCTTGACTCTGTGTACTTCTACTAATACCCTTGTGCAAGATGTGGGTTTTGCTGAAACTTCTTATGAACACAGTGCTTGGGTTCAGGAAGCCAATATCCATTAAATCAGTTTCTCTGGTTGCTGTACCAAGGAAAGAAAAGAGATAATGCCACACTTCACTGGTGTGTTAGAAGATAAACTAAGGTAAGAAATGGAAAAAACAGAAAACAAAAACAACACTTGGAACACTATAAAAATCACTTATGTACAAACAATTCTGTTTCTATCTGGTGCTATTAAAGTATATTTTTGTACTACTACTGTATTGCTCATACAATTTATTCTTTTTTTTTTTTTTAATGTTTTCAGTAGCACAGGTGTTTGAGGGCTTTCACACTTGGTACCACATGAAGAGTCATTCTTCCATTACAATTCTGATTCTTACACTAATTTTTTTTTTTTTTTTGGTCGGTTGTGGGCCTGAACTCTGGACCAGGGTGCTGTCCCTCAGCTCTTCAGCTCAAGGCTAGCGCTCTACCACTTGAGCACAGCACCACTTATGGTTTTTTCTGCTTATGTGGTACAGAGGAATTGAACCCAGGGCCTCATGAATGCAAGGCAAGCACTCTACCACTAAGCCACCTTCCCAGCCCCTTACAATAATTTTATTTACTTACTTTTAACAACTGCCTCATGTTTCCATTTCCTGGAGTTGTTTTTTTTTT